TTTTTTTTTTTTCACACGTCTTGTTCTCAAAATTATTCAATTTGTATGCTCTATTCGGAACCATCTCGAGGAGCTTTCGATTATTTTGAAATCTCGGTATATCTCTGCGTGTGTGTGTATCGAGATTCCGAGCCCTCCATTTTTTATTGATTTTTGGTAACCGAATAAGTTAACTTATAGCTTTGGTTAACTTATAAGTTTTCTGTATCCTAATAAGTTTCGTTTGGTAGGATTAGTTTTTTTAAAAAACTCGAGCTTATCTCATAAGCTTCTTTCGGTAGTTTTTCAAATAATTTTACCAATCACTTTTAGCTATAAGTCATAAGCAATAGGCAATAAGCTAGCTTATCAGCTATCAGCCGGAAGCTTTTTTAGCTAGTTTTTCAAATACTTTTACCAATCACTTTTAGCTATAAGTCATAAGCAATAAGCTATAAGCTAGCTTATCAGCTATCAGCCGGAAGCTTTTTAGCTAGTTTTACCAAACATAGCCTTATTTTCTTTGGGTAAGGACACAAAACATAATGGTGCAAGGTCTTGCATGAGAACGCATTTATACTATCTATAATGTGCATAAAAAAATCGAAGTATCACTCTTGATAGTACGTGTAATTGCATTCTAAAAAAAAAATCGAGCTTAACTTAGACAGGAAATTGTCCTAAATGCTAGATATACGGGCCACGTGGGAACCAGGAAAGTAAAATCGATTTTTTTCCCGGGATAGCCGATGCAATATCACGGAAAAGTAACGACGAGCAAAGGGAGGCTGCTATAAGGCACGAGATATGGAGAGTGGCTCGGGCCATTCGGAACGCGGCCTTGGTTTTGAGAGGTGAATTCACATGAAGAGATGGAAGATTTATTTTCTCGTCCCAAGGGCGAAGTAGGGTTTTCGCTAATCATCGTTTTGATAAGGATTTCAGGCAGATTGAAGTACATTTTGTACAGAAAAATATATATATAATTGCTGCTACTGTCCGCTTTAGATGTTATAAGGTGGTTGTTAATTGACAATAGCTTGTCTTTTTTATTGAACAAGATGGTTTTTGGCTGTACTTTTATTTTGCGTGCAATTTGGTGATCGTGATTCATAAGAGGGTCTTGAATTAAGGGAGATATAGTTGTGTACTCTCATTATGTATGTCAAACTAGGTGAATATATATATGAATACTATGAAAATATAATTAATGCAAAGCTAAATAATTTTTTCGGCCTTAACCAGGGAAAAAAAAAAAAAAAAGAATTGAAAGTGTATGCCAAAGTAGATGAATAATGAGTAATGCCAAAGTAGATGAATAATGAGTAATACGATACAGATAACTAGTGGAAAGCTCGATTAAACTATTTCGGCCTTGTTGTGTCAAGTAGACATGGCCACGGATCGGCCTGGTCCCGACTCGGCCGTAGGTTGCTGGTTTCGAGAACTAGCACCGTGGCTTTACTGGCCGTGTCCGAGTCTTCCTTTTCTTTTTTGTCCCAACGGTCCGACAGGGCCGGTTCTACGGGCCGACCCTTGGGGTTTGGCGGGCCGGTTAAGGGTCACCCATGGGAGGCCCGCCGGTTCGGATCACGGCCTGTTGACTGTACACCTCTAGTGCCAAGAAAATTTATTTTTTAAAAAAAGAAAAAAAAAAAAAGAGGTAATAAGGTAGGTA